AAACAATCTCTTCACGCAAACAAAGGGCCATCTTCGAAGAGGAGGGTCAACTTGTCATTTGGTTTCAGGGAGTGGAAGCTGGACCAAGGAGTAAAAATCAGCAGAGAATGCCATCGGGCTTCCTAGATGGTGCAGTTGGTAAAGAATCCATCTGCCAGTGCGGGAGACGATAGAAACGTGGGCTCAATCCCTGGGTCAGGAAGATCCCCTGGAGGAGGAAATGGCAACCCACTCCAGTATCCTTGCCTAGAAAATTCCGTAAACAGAGGAGCCTGGCGGATACAATCCATGGGGTCACAAAGAGTCAGACACAACTGGGCGCACACTCACATGTGTGCACACACACATGCACACTCAGAATGTCATCACTTACCCAAATACACTTCTTTAATGTCTAGTTTCTGTGTAATTCACTTTAGAGATTTATTCGTTTAGTCTAATGCTTTATTCTGTGTCTACACACACATTGCTCTGGGAAAGGGCTAGCTTGATATAAGCTACTGTGGGCCAATTATATCCTTGCGGTGTGGTTAGGTTCTCATTTCCTTCCCAGAGAGTGGGTATTATTTGGAGAGGGAGGGTTGAGGAATGGGAGGAGGAAACAAGGGTCCTGAGTGTCTGGGCTGGAGGCTAGAGACCCCGCAGGACAGCAGGGAGTCTGAGCGTCAAAGGCAGTCTTGATTGCCTGCATAAATGTGTTTGGGGCTGGGCCTGTCCTAGAGATATCCCAAAACTATTTTAGGAGGCAGCAAATTTAGCTGGTGATTGGTTTGCAAATCATCCAGATATGTTAGTATTTCTGTTGAGACAATCTGTCTCAGAGTAAGACATTTAAAGCCTTTACAACCAAAAGGGATTTGCCTTTTCGAACACTGTCATCCAAAAAGCACAGCCACTTCAGCCTATTTCACTGGCCGAATCAGTGGTGCTTAAAATGTTTAGCAGCATGTTAGCTTCACTTGCACAGACTTTTCCAGGTGAAAACTTGCTTTCATATTTATTGTCTGGAGGAATTCTCAACACAGTCTGAGAAAGCAAGTGGTCTGATTTTTATTTAATAAATGGGGAAACCGAGGCACTTACCCATGGTTCCCCAGGGAGTGGATGGCAGAGGTGAGACTTCAGCCCAAGTTTTTCAGATTTCAAATCTCATCAGGATTAATTTTTTAAAGTCGATTTGCATTTTTAACAAGGTAATATATAAGTATTAATTTAAGTGATCAAATGATTTCATGAGGCTTTTATTGAAAAATAGCAGTCCTCTGTCCAAAACTCTACCAGCCCTGATTTCCCAAAACTTAGTGGCAAGCACTTGCTATTTTTTGGCTATTTCTTATATTTATCATCATATTTCTAAGTAAAATGTTTAAACTTTCAGTTCTTGATTTTAAAACATTTAGATATATAGTGAGCCCTCTGTATCTATGGGTACTGCTTCTGTGGATTCAACCAACTGTGATAAAAAATATTCCAGAAAGTTCCAAAAAGTAAAATCTAAATTTGCCGCAGTGGCAACTATTTACATAGCATTTACATTGTATTTACAACTATTTACATAGCATTTACATTGTATTAGGTATCATAGTAATCTTAAGATGATTTAAAGTATATGGGAGGATGTACACAAATCATATGCAAATACCATGCTCTTATGTATAAGGGATTTACACTTTCTTGGATTTTGCTGTCCATGGGGGTTGGGAGGAGGGGCACTGTCCTGAAACCAATCTTCCATCGATATTAAGAGACAGCTGTAGTCTAAAATCTTCCTTCTATGAAAGATGAGGGTTTGTTTTTTATGCCCCATTCATGTACACACCCACACACACACGCAAATCCACACGGTCACACTCACACATACCCACACACACACTTTACTTCCTCTGCACAGCACAGTATCTTTACATCACAATTTTTATTTCTGCTATGATAGTTTTAATTTCCAAAGTCTTTCTGACTGCTCCTTTGGAATAGCATCTTGGTTTTGTTGCATAGACAATATGTCTTTACTTAGATCCCTGAGATTTTACTTTTTCATTTGAAGCTTTCATTTTCTTCCCACATTGTTTCTATTTCTCCAGAGTTCCTTTTTTGTTGGTTCCATGTTGACATCTGTCTTTCAAGTTAGAGAGTATCTTCAAACATCTGATCATCCTTGTTTCTGACATACACATTTATGCATAAGATGCTAAAAAGGCATCAGACGCTCTCCGTGCCTGGGTGGGTGGTTTCACTGTCGGCTGATGAGGTAGCGACCAGCCACTTCCCCGTGGTCCTCCCATCTGCCAGTATCTGTCAGAATTATCTCTTGGGCCTGCTGGTTTCCCCAGAAAAATCATTCAATCTGCGGTCACTGGGGAAGGAAAAGGGGGAAGGAAAAGGAAGAAGGCGACTCTAAGCTTGGCTTCCAGCACTCTGGAGGCCAAGTAGTACAAAGTCTCTCCACTTAACTCTCCAGACAGACACCCAACCTCACTTTCAGTGGCACCTGCTTTCCTAGACTGGGGCTCTCCTGGTTAGCCTCTCCAAGAGCGAAGCTCTTTTCTGCTGGCAGGGAGAGAAATAGTAGCTTGGTGGCACTAAGAGGGGAGGAAATCATGGTCAAATTTTCCTGTTCCTAGAAAACAGACTCTGAGTTTTGCCTGCAGCAAGTGTACTGGGGCATGCCTGCAGGATGTGTGATGATAGGGATGTGAGAGAAGGTTAGACAGAGGGAGCAGAAAAACTCAGCCGATGCCAGGGAGCCCCACAGCGGAAGTGGTTCAGCAGAGCTGGCTGGCTCTGAGGCGAGAGGGCAGGGCCTTTCTACTCCCTCACTGACCAGTCATTGGGAATGGGCTCCTCCAGAGAGGGGGCAAGAGGATTTTTTTTACCTAGGAGCAGTTTGCTGGAGAGAGACCGGAACTGAGAGGCACTAATACCCCCAGCACACTGGAGAAATGAGTGTCTGGAGCCCAAGGGACACTGGGCAGCTCATCACCGCGACCAGGACAGCGGCCTGCCTCCTCAGGGTGTCAGTCACTCAGTCGTGTCCGACTCTGCAACCCATGGACCGTAACCTGCCAGGTTCCTCTGTCCATGGGATTCTCCAGGCAAGAATACTGGAGTGGGTTGCCATTCCCTTCTCCAGGGGATTTTTCCCAACCCAGGGATCAAACCCAGGTCTCCTGCATTGCAGGCACATTCTTTACTGTCTGAGCCACCAGAGAATAACATCTAGAATTCCGGTTGGTCCTTTTCCCTGGGGAGATACAGAGGAGAAAGGGATGCTCCCACCCCGAAACCAACAACCACTGGAGCTGGTATCAGGCTGTGAGGATACTCCTCATCTTTTTTTTTTCCACTCCCCATTCCAGATCTATCTTTTATGCTGGACCAAATGGGTAACTTAGGGAAGTGACCCAGATCATTATCTCTGAAGAGCCAGAGTCCTCAAGCCGTTCTCAAGCTGTGGACATTGCTCTTGTGGGTTATCTGCAGACATTGAGCAACAGAGGGCCAAGAGACTCCCCAGAGCATTGCCTGAGTGCCACCCACAGACCCCACCCCAGCCGTTTTATAAGAGGAGCCCCACCTTGTCTTGATGATCAGAGTCAGCTCCTCCTGCCAGGGTGGGGTCCCTTTTCTCTGTCTGCTGGTCTCTTGGCACAAAGAGCTAAGTAATCAGTCAGCAGTAATTGATGAAAGTTTAATGGAATTCTCACTATGTCTCTAGAAGAAACAGGCTCCCCCAGGAAGTCAGGACTTTGAGACCCACTAAGCCTAAAGTTGTACGTAAAACAAGCACAAAGTCCCCATGGGGGTCAAGAGGCATTATGACCTGCAGGTCCCCTGCTCCCACCATTTCTGGGTCCTCAGAAGCATCAATTCCACCTAACAGGCATATCGCCATTGCTCATTTGGTGTTGTTCAGCCGCTGAGTCATGTCCAACTCTTTGCAACCCTGCGGACTGCAGCACACCAGCCCTCCCTGTCGCTCACTATCTCCCAGAGTTTGCCCACGTTCATTTCCGCTGCGTTGGTGATGCCATCCAACCATCTCATTCTCTGCAGCCCTCTTCTCCTTTTGCCTTCAGTCCTTCCCAGCATCAAGATCTTTTCCAATGAGTCAGCTGTTATGGTATAAAAAGGTAAAAAGCCACTGCTCATGGATGACTCCTTACCTGTTTTTGCTTCAGGTCCCTTCTCTCTCCACACAAAGTGGATGGCCAGCTGCCCAGCCTGAAACTCTGCTCAGCGGAGGACTGATATGGCCAAATGGCAATGGGGCTGCAATTCCACTGTCCATTTCCAGCCTGCATCCCTATTCCAAGTCAATCCATCCATGAACCAAACTGGGGCTTAGTCCTTCTCCATCAGCTAATCCTAAGTGCTGGTCACAAGTGCCAGCACAGTAAAAGGGGCCAGTGCTACAGTGAGGCAGGACGCAGGGTCCAAACCACTTGCTCAGACATCTTGCTCCCTCTGACCTGTCCCTATCTGATCCCAGAAGTACCATTTCCTTCTGATGGGGGATTGTTGCCGAACCCACCTGATATTGTGAGGCACAGGTCTGGCAAAACTCAGCCGTCAAAGGCTGGTTACATGGATGCTCGCTGTCTTATGCGTTAGGTGCTTTCTCTCTTTCAGGGCCTAGTAGCACACCAGGAGCTGAGGTTTTCTCCACTGCAGTCAGGATGGCTTTGTTCTAGAACAAAGATGTGTACTTTCTGATGTGTACTGTGTGATTCCCTTGTTGGTGCTTTCCATAAATTCCACATGACATCTTGCTCCAGCACCGATACCTCTAGTATCATAGGGACTTCTGGGTGGTGTGGCTCAGATCGCAGGGCCACTGACACCGTAGCCTGTCCCTGCTGCAGAACCCTCTCCTGGATTCCACTCAAAGACACCAACCTCTCACGTCATATGTCAGATGAGTTCAAGCAGTATTCTCAAGTATATAATATGCTGACTCCAGAACCCAAACAGGCCTCACAGGTGTCATACTTCTTTCTTAGTGATGAGAGACACAGGATGACTAACATCTGGAGAGCACCTCCCAGGATGTTCCAGACCACTGAACAGATGCTGCCATGGCAAGGCCCTGAAGCTTTGTAAGTTTTATCTCCCAACCTCGGAAGCACATATGCAACCCAAGCCCCCAAAGTTCTTGCTCAGTCAGTCTCATTGGCACCATATCATCTGTAGGATGAGCCAAGGTGATATTCAGAAGAATGTCCAGATGGTTCGGGTCCCTTTGGACTAAATTATGACAGAGGGTGGAAAGTTATTACAGCTCTGGGATAAAACCATAAATGTACACTGTTATCCAGGCTTCCCTGGTGCCTCAGTAAACAATCTGTCTACAGTGCAGAAGACCACCTGCAATGCAGGAGACACAGGTTCGATCCCTGGGCCAGGAAGATTCCCTGTAGAAGGAAATGGCAACCCGCTCCAGGATTCTTGCCTGGGAAATACCATGGACAGAGGAGCCTGTGAGGTCCCAAGAGTCAGACACAACTCAGTGGCTAAACCAGCACCACCACACTGTTACCCATTCCAAGTGAATGCAAACCGTTTCTGATCCTCATTCCTGATCCAGCTGGAAAAGAAGGCATTCACCAAATCAATGGCTGTATACTATGTACCTGAGGCTGTGTGAACCTACTCTAACAAAAGTCACATCTGGCATTGCAGCTGCAGTTAGGGTCACTACCTATTGGAGTCCACATACAGCCCACTGTCATCCTCCTGTGTGGTTTATACAGGAGGGTCAGACTATTGAATATAAAGGGAAATGATGCAGACCACTGCCCACCTTCCCTACCCCCAAATCCTCCAGGTCTAAAGACCTAGATGAGTCTCTTCCATTCCTCCTGGGATGGATCAGTTCGGTCGCTCAGTCGTGTCCAGCACTATGTGAACCCATGGACTGTAGCACGCCAGGCTTCCCTGCCCATCACCAACTCCCAGAGCTTGCTCAAACTCATGTCCATTTAGTTAGTGATGCCATCCAACCATCTCATCCTCTGTTGTCCCCTTCTCCTCCTGTCTTCAATCTTTCCCAGCATCAGAGTCCTTTCCAGTAAGTCAGTTCTCATCAGGTGGCCAAAGTATTGGAGTTTAAGCATCAGTCCTTCCAGTGAATATTCAGGACTTATTTCCTTTAGGACTGACTGGTTGGCTCTCCTTGCAGTCCAAGGGACTCT